AGCAGGCAAGAGCAAACACCAGCCAGACTCGGCCCCACATATGGCAGTGTGGAGGGTGTTGGTGAGGTGTGTTTGGGGACCACAGGGGACCCTGATGCCCACAGGGAGGCTGGCCAGCTGACACAGGGCAGTGTTGTGCTGGTGTGCCGCCTGTCCTGTGGTGCTCAACCCAAAACCTTTGCCCAGCGCCTTCCCACACAGCTCCCTGCCTGCCAGCCAGGCTTCCCGTGATGGATCGAGGGACAGTAGGGTTAGAAACCCCTGGCCTTGCGGGATATGGCCACCCTCCTACCTTGGAAAAGAGCCCAAAGCCAGCAGCCAGGCTCCCTACCTTGAGAATGGGTGCCATGAAGATGGAGAACCCTGTGAGGACGAAGACAGCCAGGCCAGTCAGCCTCTGCTCCCTGCAGGCAGTAGTGTGGGTGTCACGGTAGCCCAGGGTCCCTTGGAAGCCCACAGCCCCCTCCTGCCCTCCCAGCCCCCAGAGTCTTTGCTATTTTCAGCTTTGATAGCTGCAGGGACTGGTGGCATCCTGGAGGAGACACAAGCAGCCCCAAAGCCAGATCTACTGGCCAGCATGGGCACGTCCCACAGGCAGGGGGTTCTCCAGCGTGGGTCTAGGCTCATTGTGTACCTGATGCCCAGGAACTCAGGGTGCTCGCCAGGGACTGAGGTTGCGCTCTCCTTCCTCAGGCTCTCCATGTGCGCCAGGGAGATGACAGTGGCTGAGACATACCAGGGGAGGCCGGTGATGGAGTTGGTGACCATCAGGAGGGAGACACAGAGGAGGTCCAGGTGAAAGCCAGCTCCTTTCTGCAATGGGAGAGGCAGCGGGGCGGGGGTTAAACCCCTCCCCGTCAGCATCAGAGAGGCAGCAGTGGGGTCTGCCCACCCTGCTGGCTGGCTTGGGGTGCTGCTCTCCCATAGCTGCCCCCCTGGCCCACCCAGTCCAACCAGGACCAAGGTCCTCCCCATTGTCTGGGTCCTGCCTGTCCCCTGTCCTCCGCTCACCTGCAGCTTGTACTCCCTGCGGTTAAGGATGACGGCTGTGATCTGCTGGTCCATAAAAATGAGGATGGTGACAAGGACAGCGGGCACCACAGACACCAGGCAGACCCACCACGGGTTGGCTCCGAAGGGGAAGATGATCCAGCCCCGTGCTGGGTTCGTGGGCTGTGGAGAGCAGAAAGGTTACAGCAGCTGCCACCCACCTGGGGGGCCTGTGGTGCAACCAGGTGACAGGACCAGCCCCGGGTGCCCAGGCTGGAGCCCTGTGGGCACCCAGGGATGCTCCACCTGGGGAGAGGAAGAGCATCCTCTCTCATCCTGGGACTGTTCTTGGACAGCGTGACCCAGCACCCCCACGAGGACAGCCCTGCTATGGTGGAGCAGGGGGGTTGCTCCTGGGCACCGCAGTCCGAGAGTGGGGTACGTGCTCCTGGGAGCAGGGGGAAGAGGTGGCATTGGGCGTTGATGATAAGCCCAAGGAGGCAGCAGTGAGCACGGGCTGCTCTGAGGTGCTGCCAGCCCTGCTCCACACCCAGGGCAGGGAGTCCAAGCCCAGTCATGAGCCTGTGGCTCTCACCCCAGCATAAGCTGTACTGTGACGTGGTTAGTCTGGGACTGGGCCAGGTGATTTACAGAGCATGGGATTGGCTGCAGTTCAACCCCTTCTTGTTTGCTGGGATGCAGCCCGCATCCCTGTACGGCTGAACCCGATGGAGGGAAGGACAGCAGCAGCAGCATGGTGGGATGGCCACTGTGGGGGGCACAGATCCACTCCCCAACAATGCCGTGCCCACTCCACCAGCACCTTCAGCTCGCTGGGGACAAGGAGCTTAGGGGTCTCCAGGCCCAGGGTGGCATCAACAGCGCAGGAGGCGAGGATGGCCAGGATGATGGCGAAATCGCTCACCAGCTTCCGCACCTGAAAATGGAGAGGGCTTGACCTGGGCTGGCCAGGGTGGGGGCTGCCCCAGGAGCACCCCTGGGTCACAGCACCTGGAGCCATCCCCATGCTACTAGAATGGATGACCATGCCGCTGGGGTGGCTGAAGGATGCTGAAGTAGCGGCTGCTCCTGAAGCACTTGAGCATGGTGCAGGAGAGGAAGGTGCCCCCGAAGAGCAGGAAGGAGATGAGGGTGATATCGGGCACATACTGGCAGCTGGTCCCCAGGAGGTACCCACCTCGACCCAGGCACTGGGTCCTGCTCAGCTCAGCCAGGGCAGTGGGAGGCTGCAGAGACAGGGCAGGTGGCAAGGTGTGGTCACACATGGACACCGTGGCTTGAGCATGGTGCAGGAGAGGAAGGTGCCCCCGAAGAGCAGGAAGGAGATGAGGGTGATATCGGGCACATACTGGCAGCTGGTCCCCAGGAGGTACCCACCTCGACCCAGGCACTGGGTCCTGCTCAGCTCAGCCAGGGCAGTGGGAGGCTGCAGAGACAGGGCAGGTGGCAAGGTGTGGTCACACATGGACACCGTGGCCCCACCATAGCTGCTCGCCCACCCGCCTGGGAGCAGGGGCTGTACCTGCTGGGTAGCCAGGGGCAAGGGCAGTGGTGTGTCATTCCCTGCAGAGCTGTGACCTGCAAGGGGACAGGGGAGAGTTAGGGTGCCAACACCTTGGGGATGCTCCATCAGGGATGACTGGGATTGTGCTGTCATTGGGGTGGCTTCCCAGATTCTCCCCAAGAGCTCAGGGTGCTGGATGTGTCCTGTGGACCCCTGAGGTCTTGGCACCGGCTGACACCCAGGGAGCACCAAGGGAGGATGCCCCTGTGAAGGGCTTGGCTGAAGCTCCAGCTACTCAGAAGCACCATTGGCCCCAGGCTGTGCCCAGTGCTGATGCTTTTGGTACACGGTGTGGGTCTCAAATTGCAGGATCAGAGTGGACACATCTTCAGGCCCCAATAAACAACTTCTGATTTACAGACTGGGCTAGAAACAGCAGCACGAACCCACCCAGGTGCCCACCTCCAGCCCCTGGCATCCCCCATCCCAGAGCCATGGGAGCCGGACCAAGGCTCTTCTTGCTCCCGGCACTGTCCCCACTGCCTGCGCAGTGCCGGGAGGCAGGGACTGATGGAGAGATGGCATGGAGGGGAGTAGAGGAAGGTGCTGATGTAATTGGACAGGCAAGGAAGGGATTGAGCAGGTTCCTCCTCCTCCTCCAGCACCTTTCCCCCTGTAGCTGGGCAGCAGGGTCCCAGTGGGATCCCAGGGCAGCAGTCCCCGCTCCCCACCAGCTACGCAGCTGCTTGGGCTCACCAAGGCTGGACAAGTTGCAGATGCAGTTGTAGGAGGTGACATTGTCCAGCCTGTACTGCCAGTTGATGGGGAAGGCATCAGCCAGGCTCAGCATCTTCTTCAGGGAGTCATAGATGAATATCAAGCTGATGAGGGCGCAGAAGCCTTCCTCAGTGAAGCGGGTGAAGTGCTGCACCAGGTGGCTGGCCTCAGTGGCTACCAAAACCAAGCCAAAAAAGGCCACCCAGAGCCCAATCCAGAGGCGAAACTCCAGGTAGTCCAGGCTGTGGTCCCTGGTGGGAGGGGTGACCCAAAGCCTCAACAACACCCACCTGTGTGATGGTGGACCATGTCCCAGCCAGGGGACAATGGCCTGAGGAACCATCCCTGGCAGGGTACTTACTGGCTGAAGGAGAAGAGGAGGCGCTCGAAGACCAGCACGGGGCCGGTGCTGCTCAGGATGGTGAGAGGCTGGCCAGAAAAGAGGCAGAAGATGGAGCCAGCAAAGGCCGTGCCCAAGAAGCTCTCCAGCACCCCCTGAAACACAGGTGAGGGATGCCAGGCACATGGTTGGGGTGGGGGTCCCAGGCCTGTTCCCCGCAGCTGCCCACACCTCCCAGTGCTGCAGGGTGCAGGGTCAGCAGTCGGGGACACAGAGACCAAGGAAGGACACAGGATTCAGGTGATGCTTGGGATGCTCCAGGGGCACGGCTGGCTCCTTAGCACCACCTGGGAGGTGGGCACCCAGGAGACTTGTGGGCTCAGCTGAGAAGGGGCGGTGTGGGGCACCCCATGGCTGCACTGACCTGCATGTTGTCAGTCGCTTCCCCCAGCATGCCCCCGAAGGTGATGGCATTGGTGACCGTCACCAGGTAGATGTAGAGCACTGCCGAGAGGCACTGGGGGTGCAGGGCGTCGGAGAAGTCGCTGCCGTACCACGGTGCCTTCCTCCGAATGTCTCGCAGCAGCCCTCCAAAAAGCCTGGGACAGTGGAGGGAGAGCTCAGAGCACCCTCCCCATCCATCACCCCCTGAGAGAGCTGCAAGGCAGGGGATGGTCCCTTCCCCAGGAGACACCAGCCCAGAGTGGTTTGGACATGGTGGCCCCAAGTACTGGGGAAAGCCAGCGCCCTGTCCCGAATTTGGCATCCTGCTGCACCTCCTACCACCCTCACCCTTCCAGGCACCCACCTGCCTGTCCTCTCCAGCTCCTCCCTGGAGTGCAGGTGCCCTAGAATGGCTCTGTCCCCAGCTGCTGCCATGTCCCCATTGCCGTGGGACTGCCGATCTGGTGGGTGCACAGTGGTCCTGCGGCAGAGCAGAGCCTGAGATGACAGGCTTCAGGCCTCAAGACCCAGATGTGTCTAGAGGATGCTATGAGGGGATGGGGAGGATGGAGAGGGGACAGGGGTGCAAGCAGGGCTGGGGGGACCTTGTGTATCCCCTGATAATGAGCAGGAGGAGAAAGATCAGGAGGAGGATGGGAGATGAGGGTGTTGGACTAGATGTTCCTCAAAGGTCCCTTCCAACCCAACCACGATCTCCTCCAGCAAGCCCTGGAGCCAATCGTAGTGTGACTGGTTTTGGTGGAGGACCTGGGTGGAGCTGGAGGTGTCCTGCTTGGAAGATGAGCTTCACATCCAAGTGCTGAAACCCAGCGTTCCCAGCAGCTCCTCCCTGAAGGGCACACAGGGTGGTTTTGCCATCCCCCACCACGTGGGACAGCAGGACTAACAGCAGAGGGGACCAGAGAGAGCTGTGGTCATTGGCTGGAGCTGCAAAGTGGCTTAGCTGGGAGGACCTCACTGGCAAAGGTTAGCCTCTGGATGGCTTCATCCCCAGGGAGATGGAGATTTCAGGGTCACAGGCAGAAGTCTCCAACTGGGACCCTGCAGAGGGGCTGGCAGAGGCTGCAGGTGCCCTCCCTCCAGCCTACCTCCTGTGAGGAGATGGCAGACAGCTTGGTGGAGGAATTCTGGCACTGGGGTCCCATTTCCCAGGAGGAAGCACAGTCAGCTCATCCAGGAACGCCTCCATCCCTGCGATGAGGTCCTCTCGGTGCTCAGCCTGCCGAGCAACCCTTTGGAAGAGCTACAGGGAGATGCTGTGGTTTAGCCACCATGTCCCCGCGTTCAGCCACTGAGCCTTCCTCCCAGCCTGCAGCCACCACTGAGAAAGACACCCGTCCACTTCAGTGCAACAGGTGCACCTACATCCTAAAGACCCACCCCAAACCTTTGGTTTCTTATCCTGGGCAAGGAAGGCCACCAGCTCGCCTCATCCTCCACCTCTCCTGCTGCAGCCTGCAGAGGAGAGGAGCGGAGCTCTGGTGTCCTCAGCCTAGGTGTCGTCGCAGGCCCATCCCACCCATGGGTGCTGCACCAGGCTCACCTCATCCGTCAGCAGCGTGGCCATGGCCCTGCCAACCTCATGGTAGGCTTTCACTTTTTCTCGGGGACCCAGCAGAATAAAGAGGAACCTGTGAGCAAGACAGCGCATCTCCTGAGCATCCCCTGTCTCACCGGGGGATGTCTCTTCTGGGGGAGACCATGGTGCTGCACAGATGCTAGGGATGGTGGCTGGGCAGACTTGGGGGACTGCTGCCACCTTAAGAGGTGGCCATCCTAAGTGAGGAGTTGGGGGCAGAAGACAAGACACATATCTGCTGCCCACTGCATGGAAACCCCATGGGAGATGAGACCCTGGGACACCAGGACCCCAGGTGGATCACAGGGTCTGCAGAAACCCAGGCTGAGAGGGCAGGGATGACAGGTCTTTGGGGCAGAGGAGACATTCTCAGCTGGGAATGTCTGTCTGTGGGGTCATGCTCATGGGAATGTTGCTTGCAGGCAGGAGGCAGGAGCGTTAGGAAGGAGAGCTTGCCAGCTGCTTGGGCAGCAGGTTTGGTAGGACTACGGGGACATGGGAGAAAATTGGAAAGGGGGCTTAGAGTCCTTGAAGAAATAAGGCTAAAATCCCACACCTCAGAGAGTGCTGCATAATCATAAGGTCTCCAGAGGGACAGCCCATCCAAATATTTAAGGAAGCCCTCCACTCCTTTCCAAAACAGGCAAAAATGGTTACAGCCCTGGTACACTGAGGCTGTGGAGCAATTCCAGTGACTGTACCCCAAGCAAACCTCTGGAGAGGGGGTAGGGAAACTCTGATAGCATGAGCGGAGATGAAGGTGGCTCAACAGGACCTACTGCAGCCCTGATGTGGGGCATCAGTGCTGGAGGCCTTCTGGAGCCTGCTCTGAGGGTTAGGAGGTGAGGTAGCCACCTGGGATTGCTTTCATCCACGCATCTTCATCAAGACAACAGGAAAACCTTTAGACCCTAGAGATGGACCTGGGTGGGAGATAGCCCTGAGATGGTGGCTGCACCCACAGGACAGCCAGCAAAGGGGATGGCATCATGGACAAAGGGATGGGTAGGGACAAGCTCTCCTTCTCCTCCTGTTTGGGGATGAAAAATACAGGGCAAGGGGTTGTCATGAGCCCCTCGAGACCTGAAGGAGCTCCCAGGAACCTGCCACCAATCTCCCACCAAGGAGAGAGCAGCAGGTGAACAGATGTCCTGCTCCACCCAGCTGCTGGAGGACGGGTGCTCTGGGCAGAGTGACCAGGAGGTGGCAATGTCCCTCCTGATCCCTGCCTGCTTCTTCCACACGCTCCCTAAGGAAGTCCCCAGCTCAAGGGGCACACTGACCATTTCCCTTACACCTTCAGATGATGTGTTCCTCAACCATGCAGAAAAGACCTCCTGCCCTGCTCCTTTCCCCCTATACCAACACTGCTGGAAAAGCCACCCCACCACTCTGGAGAGCTTTGCGGGCAGCAGGAGGGAGAGAGGCTCCTGCAAACCTGCGTCCCTTCCTCGCTGTGAGCCCCCATGCTCCCAGGCAGTAAGGGGAGAGCATCCAGACCTTCCTAAGGAGGAGACTAAATGCAGAGCCCCGGTGGGAATAATCCAGGGGGTGTCCCTGCCAGGCTGCCCAACAGATGTTCCACTCTCAGCCTGTCCTGGGATGGTCCTAAGGAGCTGGGAAAAGCAGGAGAGGAAGCAGTGAGCCAGGGTTCTGGGACTGCCCATGGCATTGGGTGCCATACCCTTTGCTTTTGCCAAGCAAAGCCTTGTCCTGTGGGGCAGGGAGCACGGGACAAAGAGGGGCACAGGGCCATCAGACATGCTCCCTTTACCTGCTGGGGAGAGCGACTTCGGCCAGCGAGCCAAGGGCTACCCCTCGCCTGAGGCGGATGAAGGTGATGAAGGGCTTCTCCAGGAACTCAACTTCACCGACGGCAACATGGGCGACTTCGGCCCCTGGTGGGACCTTCTTCTTAAAACGGTTTCTCAGCTGAAAGGAAAGAGATGCAGCAGCTGGGCACTCGGGATGGAGCAGCTGCTCTCCGCCCAGCTCCATCCTGCCTTACCTGCTCCTTAAGAGGCGTTTCAGAGAGCTGGGCTCTGGGCTTAGACCAGCTTTTGGCCTTCCCTGCAAAGGGAGCAAGCGGCAAAATAGGTGTGCAAGCAAATAACTGGTGCACAGCTTGGGGGCAGTGAA